CTCCTATCGCAATCGTTTCGGCAAGGAAAATTGTTCGAATACCTAATATGATTAATATCATCATCACCACTGCCGGGGTTTGGCGACCAAAAAACGTTCAAACACTGCGCAATCACCAACGAATCACCATCCGTCCATTGTCTACCTTTTCTCTTTCTTTTTTTTTTCTATTCCCCCAAGTCTGGGCCCTGGACAAGGGCTTACATATACGGTTTGTTTGGCCTTTGACCCCTACTAGTCAGCGGCATATCCGCAATTCCCTATTCCCGTGCAGCAATGCAGGGAATCAATTGGCCCGTAGTTCAGGGTCGCTGGAGAACAAAAAATGATCTAGATCAAGCATCAAAGGAGTGAATCCCACCAGCACCAGTGTGAAGACGCTCAAATCGCGTGGACTCCGAGAGTACATACAAGAGGACGATAGAGGCGTGGATGGTGTATACGTATACTACGTACAGGAGTTGACACCCCCCCCCCCCCCCGCACTACTCCGTACGCAACCAGCTAATAAATGAACGGGATCAGAGATGTTGTCGCTTCTACCGTGCCAGGCAGGGCAGATGACTTGACCTGAATACGGGGGGATTTGAAGAACTATTCCCGTCCATCGAAGCCACCAACGGAACAAAGACAACACCAACGCCCAGCTGACCCGCAAACACTGTGGCTAGCGTCTGACATCGCTTCTGACATCGCTTCTGACAGACTGACAGGCGATCCATCCATGCTATTTCAAGGGTTGAGAATCCCTGCTATGTAATCGCGGAAGATACTAGTAGTAGTAGTTACCCTATCATTAACCGCAGGCAGAAATATCTGTCGCGAGAAAACTACCTCTCTGCGTGGACAATTTGCGGTTATCAGATGAACCATTGACATATCAATTGACACGAATATCTACAGACTATTTTGAACAAAATAGCATCAGGTATCCTCATGAACCATATCGCTCTTGTCTTCTACCCTCACAGGAGGTCATCTGTCGCCTGCTGCCTAATACTTGCCGCAGCTCTTTTTCTTTTTCCAGTCTGGGAAAAAAAAAAAAGAAGAAGAAGTATCTTGTCAGTTGAGTCCAGGTATGTATGGCAGAGGTCTCAAGGTGCCAAAAGTCTCCTTGGACGAAAAACGATCACCAGATGAACGAATTATTAGGGGAAACTTACCCTTCACCCACCTCCTCACAAACTTAACTTCCTCTGCCTGTGCCTTTACCACGGGTTTCGGCGGGAGATCCGGTGTGGTCTCATTCGGGAACAAGCCATTCTCATCCCCTAAAAAACATGGAGGAGTTCTAATTAACAGAGATCCCAACAGAAAGTGGAATCAACACTCACAATGGTGACCCGCCCCCTCTATCAAAATAAACGGCTTGTTGATCGTGTTCTTTCGTGGTCTAGCCCCTTCCGCATGAGGTCCTGCTGGACGCCAAGGGTCGACTTCTCCATCGACGAAAGCCAGCCGATCATATTCAATGTCCAACCCGCCATACTTGTTGACCCTGTCAACATCCGATGGCTTGTGGATGTCAAAGGCTTTTCGACACATTATGCTGGCGTACTCGAGGTCGACTAGGCGCGAGATCACGGGCATTTGGTCTTTGGGGACGGTGCTTCCGACTTGGAGATAGCCCCATCTATTAAAAAATTGAACAAGACCCAGAAGAGTCAGTCCGGATTCTTGGATATAAAATCCGAGGTTTCTACCTGGTTTCGCTCCTTCTTTCATCGGATCTAAAAAAAATCTCGGAAGAAGCACGGGACAAGGGATTCCACTCACTCTGTGCAAACCTGATATGGCCAGCACCGATAGTCCGCTAGCGCAAGGCTATCATTCTTAAACCACGGCAGCTCATGTTGCCCTAGACATTCGTCCAGTGTCTGCTCCCTCCTCTCACAGCCAGTCACTTGATCGACATAAACGAAGCCGGCGAAATTGAGTAGTCGATTCGCCAAAGCATCTGCTTCCTTCCCATAACCTCCAGCAGTAAGGAGCTCCTTCGCCTCCTCCTTCTTATCACCGTTGTCATACAACAACTCATCTGCCGTGAGGTTTCCGCAGTAGTAGTCGAATTTCCGCGTCGAGATGGCCGGGTCCCAGTTGACTGACTGCCAATAGCTGATGCCCCACGCAAGGGAATATACAAAGTCATCGTGATGGGTCAGTTCTCCCAGACCGAACAGGGATTTCAATCTCTTCGTTTTTTCGGAGTCGTTGAGGCCGATTATGATTTTATCGACCATGTCAACGAATTTTTGCGTGGTGGAGATACATTCTGGCGGGCCGTATTTGCGGACAGGCTCGAAGTATTCCCAGAAGTCGTAGATGGCCTTTGGCACGCCTGAGGATGAGATGGCGCCCCAGAAGATATCGGGATACTCGACGCGAAGGAATGCCTGCGTACGATATCAGTGCCTGGACAATTGAAACTGTCCAGGGTACTCCTCGCCCTCAGAGAGAAATATACCAGGAAAAAAAAAAAAAAAAAAAGCCATACCACCTGCGCCCCGGCATACGACCCTCCATAAATAATCCACGGCGCATTACCCCCCTTCGCCGTCAAATCCACATCCTCAAACCCCTCAAACACAACATTCTGCGCAAAATACGCCGAGTCCGCCAACGCCTGCTCGGTGGTCAAGAAACGCAAACTCTCCGTCGACAGGTTCGCTGTCGGGAAGCTCTCGCCATAGTACCGGTGTTCAAGGATGACACCAAGGCCATTGGTAGCCTCGCTGAGAATTTTCACAATGCCCTTTTGCAGGAATGGGAGGCGGCCCTCGCCGTTTGTCTCACCGCCGTGTAACACGATTATCGGGCCGCCTTTCTTGTAATGGCTGGCATCGAACCAGTAGCGAACATCGAACTTTTCTTCCGTGTGGGGTTCGTAGCGTGGGTCGGAGCGGAAGTGGTCTATGGGGATTTTGATTTTATGGACTGGGTAGCGGGCTGTTAGGTCATCTTTGTCGGATTCTGTGCTGGGGGTTGAGACTGTGTTTCTCCACTGATTGATTTGCAAAAAATTAGTTAAGTTTTTAGCCGTAAGATCGTCAGAGGTGGGACAGGATAGTATATATATAACTCAATTGCATTTTTTTGGGGGGAATGACAGGCAACAGGAAGAAAATACTAGGGATCATTTTTCTTCTTGGCTTCTTCTTCTTCCTCTTGTCTTTCTTTTCTTTTCGTTTTTTATTATTCCCCCTGTTAAAATAAAGTATGCACACGTCCAATAAGCATGGGGTTATTCGGTAACCTTACACTCGCAACAACCGACTGTATCAAGGCGAACACCAATACAAGGCGCAGAGCCACCATCGATCTGATCGCCATGTTATATATGTACGTCGGATTCGAAATTCGAATCAGATTAGTTCAAAATACCACACAAATCATCCCTCTCTCGTCCTTTGGAAGTTTCTCGCGAGGGAAAAAAAAAAAAAAAAAAAAATTGGAAAAGAGGAAATCGAAGCTGGAAATGAAGTATGCTGCCCGTCCCCGAAAACGGAAATTTTCGCTCCTGCGCCAGGGGCAGTAGGTATGGTTATGCTGCAAGTAAAATCATCATACCAAAACAAAAGGCCCAGCGAGAACACCTGAGTATTTATGTGCCGACTTCTAGCGGGCTGGAAGGTGAGAGCAGCGGAGGAAGATCGACAGCTGTAGTTCTCGGGGATGCAAGCATGGATAGGTGTAAAACTACGGGCAAATTGCCCCAATCAATCCCCCCAACCCGTTAAGATGAAGGATGGGATGGAGACTGGTTTGGTCGGTTTCCGAAGATTTTAGCGGTAGCTGGATCGTGCTAGAATGGGCGGTTTCTTTGCGGATAGAGGATAAAGTGCTCCATCGCAGTGTTAAAAAGACACAAAAGGGCAGGGTTGAACCAGCGCCGTTGTCTTCTCTCCCCGTCCCCCCCGTATTCCATGCCACCTCACTGCATACCATACCGAGCCGTATGTAGGTTGCCGTCTATGTTGACTGTGGGCCGCCGAGGACATCCGTTGAGGAGATTTGAACAGTGAAGGTGAGGTGGGAACCGATGCCGCGGACAACAACGCCTCGTATACCATGCAGGTAGCCTATAAGTGGTATCTTCGGAAACCAAACGCTTGTACAGTCTGTATACAGACAGGCTTGTGAATGTAAGGAGAAGAAGTGCAAAATATCCCCCCCGCGCGCTGCGATTTGTTGGCTGCGATTCCTGCCTGACTAAAAGAAACGACTTTCAGGGCTGGAACGCTGTCTGGCCGATCGCGTTGTCTCGGCTAGATGTCTAGTATTTATTCCAGCTGGGGAAGGGGAGGTGTGCTTGTTTAGTACTCTGTTTTGGCTCATGTTCAACACTGAGAATATCTACTGTGGAGGATAGGATGCTGGCTCATTGTTCCTGAATGGAAGATCCAGGGGGGGTTTTGCAGAGATTAGTTATCTGCTGGCGCTCCAAGATTCCGAAAAGTTTAACGATCACAAAAAACAACAAAAAGCATTTCCCTATGTTTTCGTGCATTGCCATGTGTGCCCGCAGCGTGGGCCTTGCATTTGAGAGAATATATGAGTGAGGGTGGATGCAGGCCATTGCAGGGCAGAGTTATGGACAAAGAACAGAAACACGCGGTGGCCACGAGGGAAGGGGAGGAGTCAACATAGAAGATTCCTCTTCTGAATTCTAATAACAAAGATGCAGTGTGAAAAATAATGAGGATTTGTTTATTTACACTGTAATTATTCTTCCCAAGGCTTGTTTCTCTCTCTCCACTTTGGTTGGTTGCAGCTATTGAAATGATTTTGCGGGCTGGAGTGGACAGGGTGGAAGGGGTTGCTTCAATCTCAACCGCCTCTTTTTGCTGGATACCCAATCTATGTCCCTTAAATTCAAGAAAGAGAAAAATTATATATGCAATAATAGGTGTATAATAGTGCAACCCAGTAGTTAGTTAGGCTTGTTCATAATGACTCATCCCGCATCATCAGCACTCATCTAGCATAAGAATTATGCATCCTGACATAATTATGTATATATAGAAAATTTACTACCAACTCAATCATTTTTGATAATTGCATTTACAAGGAACATGAGGGGTAACCTGTGATGAACAACAAAAAACTAGCCATGTGTAACTGAGATAGAAAAAAATTAAAGTAAAATGAATGTTTGTTATAATCTGTAATTGTTGCTTATTTACAACAATACTTAGTAGGGCAATATATCACTTGACGCAAAGTTGTAGATTCCGCGATATATATCTGTCATTCCTCTCCGTATACAATAAACGAACAAGGACTCATCTCTACGCTGTAGAATCACCATGTATGTATACACATGCAGGCGTAGTAAAAGGTCAAGACCGCCTGCACTCCGAAGATAAGGAAGGATCCTCAAATCCCGCCGCTGAGTAGAAGGAGGATAAATAAGGGGCGAACGGAATGGAGAGAAACGGACAGAATCCCACATCATGCTCGCCCTAACCGCTCTGTTGAATCCAATCGAGAACAAGGAATGCATTGTTAGGTAAAGTACCTAGATAAGTTTATCTCATTTTCCTTCCTTACCCCAACATTGTTGGCCCCAATCCGAATATTCCAATGCTTAAATTCCCTTTCCAATCAATACCCTTTTGCCCCCTATCCCCAGCCACTTTAATGCTGTTTCAGGGGACAAGCAATCTACCCTCCCTACCTAACCCCCCTTGAAGGCTCCACAAAATGAACGAAATGATGACATACTTCCTCCAACCTGCCAAACCTCAAAACATATAAATGAGGCATGACGCATCTCGAAAGGGGCGAAAATAGGAAGACAAGCCCTTTTTTCAGAGAATTGGAGAGCCGACATCGTCTGATTCGTATACTCGTTTCTCTCCTTCCCCGTGTCTTTGACCTCTGACAATTTGCTGCCTTTCTTTTTCATTAAGGGCGGAATAGAGTGCTAATTAATAGTCGTCTTGTACGAGAAATTCAAGTTTCCCTTTCCGCGCGCCGGGTTGGGAAGTGAAGTGAGGGAGGCAGAAGGAACAGGCAATGAATATCATGTATAGGAGGAAGACAACAAAATAAATAGGCTGATCAAGGATGAAGAGAAGGAACAAAGAAAAAGTTAAACTGGACACAGAAACACAATGGTGAAGGCAAATATGAATCAATTTAGTTTTTAGTAAAAAAAATAAAAAAAAATAAAAAATAAAAAAAAAAAAAAAAAAAGAGAAAAAGAAAAGAAAGAAAGAAAGAAAGAAAAAGGAAAAGAAAAGCAAAAAACAAATTGGAACTGCAGCAAGAGAAACAGGCTAGCAACAAAAGAACAAACCAGTACCAGAACCAGAATTAAGCGAGTCAAAGCTCAACCCAATATGAGAAGAACTTCTACACTCACCAATCCATTTACTTTCACCTGAAAAAAAATGAACATGAAAGTTCAAGAAACCCAACCCCACCAACCAAAACCGAAGGAAAACATCCTAATCATGAACTCTTTTTACGCAACATTCCTCTCAACGCGACAACCTCTCCTTCCCACCTGGCAGCCTGCATCTTCAATTCATCCCTCTCCCTGCACACGCTTTCCAGTGCCCGCTCTAGCTCCGCAACGCGATCGTGCTGCTTCTGGCGGAAGCGGCGGGCAGCAAGCGTGTTGCGTCGTCGCTTGTCAGCGGCACGGTCCGTTGGCCCTGCTTTAGTCACTGCAGAAGGAGACCGTGGAGTTTGCGTTGATGAAGGGGTAGAATGTTGAGTGTTGGTGAAAGAAGGGGCTGGGGAAGTGCTTGTGAATGGAGTCGGTCGTTGAGATGAAGATGGCTTTGGCTGGATATGGTGAGTTAGAACCGGTGATTGGGATGGTGGTGGGATGGCTGCACCGCGTTGTAGATGCATGATGTTTTGATTGTGAATGCTTTGAGGAGACATAAAATACTGTCCAACGTTGCTTGGCCGATGGTTGAAATCTGGTAGAGAATATTGCGTATCTGGTTGCGTTGATGTCGCGAACGAATCTATATTTAGTGCGTTAAAAAATAGAGTCCTCTTTTCTCTCTCTCTCTTCTTACAAATTGGGACAGTCTCTTTCTGGGGACGCGGGAGTGGGACTTGAATCAACAGCTATACGGCCATTCAAACGAAGAAAATAAACAATTTAAATTGAAACCCACCTTGCGCAGTCAGTAAAAGCGATTCATCAAAATCTAGCTCAACCCCTTTGGAATATGGGTATTGGAAGTTGTATTCAGCAATAGCAGCAGAAACAGACGCACTGGAGCGTGGATTTAACAATGTTGACGCCGCCTCGGTTTGCAACCCAGTCTCGGCTGGCAATAATACCGGGGAGCTAAGCGACTGGTCATCCTGGTTGAGATTATGGTCAAGCTCAAGCAAGTCCAGCCAGGGGGGCGTCGGGGCAGTCGTAGCAGCGTTAATATCGTGTGCATGAGAAGCAAGCGCATCGGAATGTAGGGGAAATGCGAGAGAATCAGAGGGCAGATAGCAATTGACGAAGGGGGTATCATCCTCCCTCAATTGGTTTGAAATATCATTATTTTGTTTGTACTGGGGGGAAGCGAGTGAAGATGGCTGCCGGAGAGAAGCCGAAGAATGAATAGATCCGAGAAAAAATGAGGAAGAAGAAGACAAATTTGAAGCTGCAGGAGCAGCGGTATAAACAGAAGAAGCAGCAGTAAAGGACGGTAAAGACTGGCATTGGGTTTGGAGAGAAAGAGATTCATCGTCATTGCGCACGGGGAATCCCGACGGGGCAGTACCAATGTTATTATGTTGAGAATTGGTAGTATTGCGCCGTTCGAGGTGAAGATTGGGATTATGGCGGTTGGAAGAGGATGAAGAGAAGGGATGGTTGGAAGAATGGGAGGTAGGATTGGGTGGGCGCACATGTAGTAGGTATTGTTGCCGCAATGGCGATATGTTGTTGGGGGGTTAGAGACAGGCCCTCAGCGGGTAGGAGGTGCAGTGGACAATATGTTCAGTCTTCTCGTCTGGAGGAGAAAATGGAGGAGGGTGAGGAAAGAAAAGAAGAGAAAAGAAAGAAGAAGAGGAGAGAAGGGGAGGAGGGGACGGGATAGATGGATGAAGTATGAAGTTGAAGGAGGCTTTATTAGGGTTGCCGGACTTGGCCAAAGAGGGCTAGCTGCGGCTGAAGAGTCAGCCCCAGACGATCGACCCTGTATGGATATCTACAGCGTAATCTACTCTACTCTCCAGATCCAATGGGAATCACAGGAGGTAGTGCAACAGTCCAAGGTAAGGTGACAGGGAAGCAAGGAAAAAATCAAGGACTTCAAGGGCTGGAATCACGCCTATGCCATTCGTACCTACTGGATACAATGCATGTGAGTTCCGAAACCTGTAAGGTGCGGCCAGCGAGCGAACTACATAATTCGTAGATTCAGTGAGACTATGGCTTTGTAGGAGCTCATGGTCTTCAAACTGATAAAAATATATATATATATCAAACTCTTGAAGAAGTCGACATAAAAGAGACCGCACCATTGTCTGCAATATACTATACACATACATACATAATAATAACCCTCCCCACAAAAGTAACCCTAGAAAGCGAACACCATGGTTGAACTAAAACTTCTTCTTCCCCCTCATCCCCAACGCCTTAATATTCGCTCTCGCCGCCGTACCCTGCTTATGCACCATCGCCCTCTTCTCCCATGCCGAACTCTTCCCCTCCGCCACAGCAATAATCTCCTGCGACACTCGGTTCGCCAACGCGGCATCCTTCCGTTTCTGAGACGCATCGATAATCCACTTAATGGCTGTTCGCCGGCGTTGCCGGAGTGCCAGCGGAAGCGGGATGGGGAGAGATCGGCCACCACCGGCTGCGCCGGGTTGTTGCTTGATGCGGAGTATTGGTGCGACAGAGTCAACGACTAGGGTTAGGTAGAGGATAGGATTTAGGGGCAGTTGCGGGGCAGGCGGCCCGGGAAGCAATGGGCGTGATGGGTCTGGGTTGGGCGCTGGGGCGGAGCGGAGGTTGTGTAGGATTGTTTCCATTTGCTGTGGTTTTGTTAGGCTCATGTATATAAAAATGCAATATGTATGGAGATATGAATGCTCACCTTCTGCGCAGCACTCAATTTTCCGTGCCTCATGAGCATTTTTGTAAACTGGTCCAGCAGAGGGTCATAGCGGTGCCTCAAATGTTCGGATCTAGGTAGTGTTTCGGGCACTTCATATTTGAGTCCCGCCTGCAACGCCTGCTCTTGCTTCTGCTCCGTGGCAGCGGCAATCATATTCTCGACAGCCGCAATCGACGCGTCGTTCTCACCAGCCGACATCTGTTTCATATCGAACTGTCTCGATCTAGCGGAAGTAGAAAAGGATCTGGAGCCAGAGGAGCCAGAGGATGATGAAGAGGAGCTCAGCTGATCCTGTAGGACTTTGGGTGCATTTTTCATCGCATCTTTATCCCGCTTCAAAATCTATAAAAACACAAAAGTCAGTAAAATGCGAAGCCCTAAAAGATTCCAAATCAAATCCACTCATGGAAAATATGAAAAGGAACGGAAATCAACATACATCCCCAACCATACTGCCCTGCAACAACTCCGGGCCCCCAACCTCCCCACACTCCGTCCTCCGCTCCATAATCCTCGCCACGTCCGCTGCCTCCTCACTCACACTGCCTAACCCTTCCTTCGCCGCTTTCGATTCCGCTCCCTCCTCACCAACGATCCTCTCCGCCTTTCCCCCATTCACCTCATCACCGGCCTTCGAAGATGAAGACTCCATCCGGCGCTGGGGAGGCGAAACGCGAGGCCGATACGCCAGCACCGCAGCGCCTGGGCGACGGGGTAGAAGATCCCTCCTAGTTGAAAAAGAGCGGATGGCATTGTCGCGACCACTAGATAACGACGATGTAAATCTCGCTGCGGTGCATTGTTGGGGCGCTGGGGATTGGCGGAGCAGGGAGGTGGGAAAGAGGTTGAGTCGTGGTGGCATGATTGCAGTTTGTCCCCTGTATACCCTTTCGCTTTATTTATATCCCTCTCTTTTTTTCCTTTTTGATATATCTTGCCGATGGTGGTGATGGTGGTGGTGGTGGTGGTGGTGGTGTCGGGGCTTGTTGGTCTTTTAAGGTGAAAAAGTCAATTGCTTTGGATGTAATTTGTAGGTATCTCTCTGCTGTAAACGAGAGTTCTGTAAATTCGCTCGTTCCCCTATCTCCCCCTTTTCTATGCAAGTATATATCCGTCTCACGTCCTCGCTACCCATCCAAATCCAATCCGCGCGTCTGTGCAGGCCACGGTAAAGCTTCCTTACCTCCGAAAAGCAATAGGGAAAAGCGATGAAAGTAGACAAAGAAAAGTTTTGGAGTTAGTAGCGGTATGAGTATCCGCCTGAATAGAGGTGCTTGTCCACAAATGTAGTCTAGCAATAGGAAACTGGAATGCAATTGAACCCGACCTCCTGTGGCTATGAGGGCGTTGCAGGAGGTTAAAGCACAAAGAGAGAGAAGGTTGGAGCCGGGTAAGGTTTGATACTTTGTCTGATTAGGAATAGGCGCCAAGACCGGAACCTAAATGTCACATGACTGAATGATTGAGCGATGGGAGCCGAGATAGGAAAGAGGGGAAATGATCGATTGGATGCAGCCAACAGACATGATATATATAGTGGTGGTATGTAAATACCCAGGTACATTTGTCAATTTGATTCTCTCCTTTTAGTTCTCTAGCTGAAAAAAGCGAGAAGGAGACAACAACGGGTAGAAGGAACAAGAATCATGGCCCTACTCTACTCAGGTCATATAGACGAATCGCATACATTCTTCCCAACTCAGCCAGAAGAAAAGAAAACCGAATATATGGGGGAAAAAGCACGTATAGAAGAAGATCCGAATATGAGCCCCAAAAGGAAAACAGATGAAACACAGCAAAACGAGACAGCCGACTGAAGCCATCGTGGAAAGCATTTGGTCTTGTACGTACATGGGCCTAGCAGAGCCTTCTTAAGGAAATCAATAAAATAAATACAAATGGATCGCATGCTCAGCACTCGCCATTAATTAAAAAAAAGTTAAAAATGTAAACATGTGCAACGAAAATGGAATGGCTGGCGGGGGTGGGTTTGTTCAGTTTTACATAAGAAAGGGGGGAAAAGCCGATATTGTTCCTGTCGGTTGTTGCTGTTGCTGTCACCGTTAGTATAAGAAAAAGATCGGCCACGCGATCAAGGAAAAGTAAATCGAATAAGACACAAGATGAGAGATGAGATATGGAAATATCGGAACCGTTCTTCAGCCCGGATGGTGGGGGATTTTCAAGGACACTAGCCAGAAAGGATGTAGGTGAGCAGATAATTAGAGACGTATTGGATAAGAGACAAAGAAACAGTCCAGAATCCCCAACTGATATTGAAATAACCTTTGAAAATATTTCTTCTTTTTGTGATACAGCCCGCACAAAAAGAAAAAAGAGAACAAAAAAATCACAGAAACTTATTGAAGACAAAGAAGATGGGTTTGGGGTGGGGTGCAGTGAGCCGTGAAAATGTATATGCAATGAGGACCGGAATGGAGAAATATCGAAAGCGTCGTTGTCAGTTGGGTTTGAGAGGGTGGTTGGGTTGGGTTGTTGGAGTGCGAGGAAGAGAGTGGGAGCCAAGACATAGTGGTGGGGGAGGAGAAAACAAAAGAAGGAAGAAAATGAAAATGGGAAGAAAAATGATTGTTAAGCCGAGTGAATAAAACAGTCAAATGGTAGATTTAGGAGGTGGATCCAGTAGCCAGGTTAGCGATGCTGGAGAAGATGCCACCGATATCTTGCGCATCGTCGGGGTAGACGTAAAAAGCGAGGGCGATGATGAGATACCTGATTTATGTTAGCTCATCCGGATATTATGAAATAAAATAATTAGGAATAATAGGGAAGGGAAAGCAGAACAGAGATGGGATGAAAGGGGAAAAAAAAAAAGAAAAACATACATCCCAAGGCAAAGCCCTCCCTCAAGGTAATTCGACTTCCCATCTTGAATAAGCAACGTCACAACAAGCTGCGACAAGAAGAAAGTGACAGTCTCAAACGAGTGGAAGTGGAGCGTCATATCTCTCCCCATAATCCATCCAAGAATTACCAGGAAGGGAGTAACAAACAGCGCAATCTGCAAACTGCTGCCAATGGCGACACCAATGGCCAGGTCCATTTTATTCTTATATGCGACCACGATGGCCGTGACGTGCTCGGCCGCATTGCCCACGATGGGGATCAGGATGAGACCGATAAACGTCTTGCTGATGTGCGTCGCCTCGACGATGCTGTCGATGCTGCCGACTAGGAACTCGGCGCAGATGGAGACGGCGATCGTGACGATGAGTAGCACGATGCCTGCGGCCCAGGGGTTTAAGATGCGCTCCTCTTCTTCCTCATCAACTGCGTCTTCCCCTCCGTCACCGTTCCGCACCACGCTGCCGTTGTTGGCATTTTCCGCACTACCACCTTCAAAGAGGTCTGTGTGCGAGCACAGCTGGAAGTAGAGGTACATGACATAGAGGACTAGTAGGATGATGGCGGTGCCGTGAGAGAGGATCAGGATGTTGCCGTGGGTATCCGCTTTCGAGTTGGCAAGCGCAGCATAGAGAGTAGCTGGGATGATCAGCGATGCAGATGCCACAGCCATCAGGGACGACATGGTGGACGCTACGGTTGAGTTGAAGGTCTGCTCATGGTGGCGCAGGCCTCCTATCAAGAAGCAGCAGCCCAGCACCAGTAGGATATTGGAGAGAATGCTACCCAGCATGCTGGCTTGGACCACGCGGATCTCGTTATCCTTCAAGGCAACTATACTGACCTATTCCGCGGAAAGTTTATTTTTGTTAGCCAAGCAGTTCTGCGAGACGGGGTAGCCGTAAGCAGGGGTTTTATTTTAAATTGGAAACGTGCGAAGCGCATCCACATACAATAAGTTCGACGGCATTTCCAAATGTAGCATTCATCAATCCACCCAAAGTCTCTCCCATAGTCGCAGCCAGTTCCTCCGTCGCAAAGCTCAGCAGCGACGCCAGCGGGATGATCGCGAGGAAGTTAAGGACAAATGTGGTAGTTGGGGACCAGCCTGCTTTACTGGAGGCCATGCCCAGGGGGACAAAGACTAGCAGGAGATTAACATAATTGCTCGCGAGTGTCGTATAGGTCAAACGCGCGGCTTCTGACGGGTAGTGAACCCAGCGGCGATGGCGATGCGACCACAGCAGTCGAGACAGGCGGCCGGATTGGGAGCGGGAACGGGAACGGACACGACCTAGCAAGCCAGTGCGCTCCGTGGGATAGCCATTGCCGTCCGGGCCTTGGGGGTCGTCGAAGCGTGGCATTGAGGAGGCGGTATTGGAGCGGGAATGGGTAAGGGAATGACGGTGGAATTCGTGAGGGATGCGAGTGGCAGCTATTAAAATTGTAGCGGGGAAAATTCGCACGCGACGGGAACGGAGACGAAGTCCCCAGCCACAGGGCGGAAAGCGGTCAGGTTAGCTTGAACTTTCGCTTAAGGGATTATGATCATAGAAGGCGAAGTCGCTTTAGCAGTAATCCGTACTCCGTAGTTGGTGCGGTAGACAGAAGAGCAAGCCACACCTTTGGGTCGGAGTGGGGATGTGGCAGTGAACAGAGATAGATATGCGCGCGGTGGATGCGAGTTTGCCAGAACCCTAACCACCAGTACGCAGGGAAAAAGGAAAGAGGGAAAAGATAGACTGTATGGAAGGATGACAATGCGCTAGGGGGAGAAAGAAGAAGAAGAAGAAGAAGAAGTGTAGAAATGGAAATGTAATTGAATGGACACGAATGAGAAATGCGAAGGAGTTGGGATAGGATGGAAGATGGGCGGATGGGAGACGAGGCACGTAATAAAGTTATCTGGTTAGTTAGGGCAGAAACCAAAAGCCCAAAACCAGAACAAAAGGAGCAAAATTAATTAAGTATTGTTAAAGCGGGTTAAAGCGCAGATGGATAGGTTCTTAGATGGAGAGAATCAACAAATCGAATCGTGAATGTTGCTTACCCATTTGAAGCCAGGAAATGATATCCGCCGCACAGCCTCTCGTCCGGGCTTTGGGGATTGGAGTGGATGGATGGAGTCCGTTTGTCTCCGCGCGGCAGGGACCGGGTAATTCGCGCGTTTTGTTTGACTTTTGGCCTGACCGTTTGCCTGGCTGACGATTGTTACAGTCACTACTATACCTTGCTATATCCTACTGGGAGTCTTGTCAGGGCGGGGACATCTCGGGTATGGACGAGTAGCTCGGCTGGGCACTGATGGAGAGCCAGTGGGGGATGCGGGATTGTATAGGGGTGGATGGGGATAAGGGTGAGGAAGACAGCCTGACGCGGGGGACTGGACTTCTCGGCCAGCAACATGCAGTACTGCGTACATACAAAGGAAGCCTGATACGGGACAACAAGGCGATATGTGACGGTCTGGCTAGCACAAGTTAATTCTCTAGAGTTACCCAGCCAAGCCAGACTGCTCCTTTTTCCCCCCTTTAAACCCAGACGCGGGTTGCCTCAAGAGCCAGGAAGCGACGAGAAGCGTCTGGGCAGTCCCAGGCTAATTGCCTCTGATGAGGATGATCCCATCTGGTACAGCATTGTCGTCCCCATCTTGGTCCTTTTTGTTCCCCTTGTATCATCGTCAATGGATGGAAGAAGCTACATACACACAGTGAAACACACGCTGACCACAGAAACTAGCAGGGAACACAACACAACTACACAGTACTCGAATGGGTGTTCTCGGCAGCAGAGTACAGGATACGGGGCCTCAACGAAGGTTCCTTTCTCGAAGGACTAGGGATGGATGAACGTGATCGTTGATTGACCTTGCTTGTCTCCCCTGACAAAGAAGAGCAGAAACCAACGCATAAAACAATAATAATGAATAAAAGACGCATGCGGATGATGGCGGGATACGGAACAAGACCGTGAGATAGATATATGCGTGAATTATTTTTATTCTGCCCCCCCCCAGCTGGTTCTACTGACTGTCCCTTTTTTTTGTGTTTGTTTTGACTGGATTTTCAGCTGTCGATTGATACTATCTCGGGAGGAAGCCTGCTATGTAGGTTGCTGTGAGAAAATCGGCATTCATCATTCCACTAAGAATGCCCGCTAATGTCGCCTGTGGCTTCTCGCTGTACTCCGTACTCCGTACAGCGTCTCCTGAACACCGGCAAATACCCGGCATGCATCTTGCTTTGCACAGCCTCAATCTTGCAAGCTTGCCACATTCCAGGAATAACCCTTTGATCCCAACAAGTTGGTTTGAATCCCCGCTCCCAAACACAACCACCATGACGGAGGAATCTGCAACTTTTTCTTGGTTGAGAGAAAGTTTCGACATCATCATCACCCGCAGTGAAAAAGTCTGGTTGGTCCCCTTCCCAATACTCCTATTAATATCTTACTAGATCGATGCTGGAATAGCTGTTGCAATAATAGATTTGAACACATATTCAATGACCCACAACCACGTTCACAATCGAAAATAAAATAAAATAAAATAAAATAAATGGAAACCCAGATCTCACACCGCCTGGCCCACTAACAGAGAGAGCTACGCGCATCACACGAATCAACAACATACATGTACGCTGTACGGAGTACGGAGTAGTTACAGGCCAATTATCACAGCAGCCGTGGCCAGCAACCTGCATCAGCACCGCCACGTAACTATGTACGTACCGTAGTTACCATGATTTGTCAAAAGGATGACTAACGTTACTTACTGCCTTACCGTACCCCGCTCCTCTCTCCTCTAGGAACATTGCAGAGCTTGTTACTCAGGTGATCCCAATACCCCGTATACCACGGATGTCCTTCATGAAGGGAAACCGATCGCGAAACTCATCAAGTTGAACTAATAGCGAGCCACAAAATGAACTGAAGTAGCCAGAGGGAGGCATGCAGTCCTTTGCAAGGTTTTACATGGACTCTAGTCTTCTGCACGACAAGATCTGCGGCATTCCTCCGTCCATTTGATTCGTTAACTTTGTTAGTTCACTCCCAGGTACGGAGTATGTTGTGGGCTGGATGGGTCTTGTTTTCCTTTTCTTCTATCAGATCAGAAAAAAGCTTTGACCTGCCAAGCACCTAGGTATGGAGCAGACAAAAACTGGAAGAACCTAATTTCTGTGCCCCGTAGTTCCAAACAGTAGTTACAGAGTAACCATCCGCCTTAAACTTGGCAAGAGTTCAAGCCACCTGACCTTTTTTTTTTTCAAAGATCGTATCGCGAGGCCTAACCTTGGAGAGCCTCCGAACTCGGATCAGCATTCGCGGCTATCCAAGACAATTCATCTCAGTTTGTTGTCCGGGGTGAATTTTTGTTACTACAGCAGTCTATAGTGACAAATATGTCAAATGGGTATTTTATACTAGTGTTACAATGAGCACACATTAATGATACTGATTATTGTATTAGCAATCAAGATCTTCTCATTAGAAGTTGTATGAAATAATGACCCACATCAGTGACTCTCAACCTGGGATGAGTCAATGGCTATACTCAGGCCAGTCTCCATGGGGATCTATACCCAGGGGGCTCTATACACAGGGGAACTCATCTATATATCTGAGGGCCTCTATACTCGGGCTCGATACACCTGAGACTTGAGGATGAGGATTCTATATGTTGAGAGATCTGTGGGGTGGAGCTCATTGCTGAAAGCCAAGACTGACTAAATCATATGTAGTAATAATAATATACTAACTACGGGGTAACTACATTAGAACTGTGTAACTAACTATTGGTAAGTTACGTGACAATAAAATCAGTATTATGTGGAATTAAGCCATTACACTGGAAAAAAAAGCCATTTGACACATTTGTCACTATAGACTGGCCTGGCCGTAGTACGTTTCTGCTTTCCTTCTTTCTTTTCGTTCTTTCTTTTTTACTTTTATCACTCTCTTGCGCGAGCTAGTATGACAGTGGCATTCGATCCTTAAACACCTCCTCCGGTAACGTAAAGGAGGAAAAAAAAAAAAAAAATTGTTTGAAGATCCAACTTCACACCGCACATCCCATTGCTAGATTTCATTCAGCGCGGCCATGACCATTCACTCTGAATAGCCCAGATTGTCTATTTTCTGGCTAGATCCAGGATCCCTGTGTCCTGGGGGAAGACCTAGAGATCGGGAGAAAAATGGATGATATGGGGTGAAAAAGATAAACCCAAACTGGAGGTGTTGGAAGTGAACATACAGTCTTCATACATATCAACTACTGCGTGGGTGCTGCCACTTGAACTTTTACGAGTTTATATATTCAACAACTCCGTGCCATACACGGAAAAAAACATAAAGCTAAGGTTCATTGGCGATTGAAACGAACCTCACACGACCCCTTTCGCTGGTCCTCCTTCTTGTTGTGGGTGAGAGTTCTACACTCGAACTGGAGGGCGAGAACATAAGCACTCCCAGCTTTAACGGTTGCATCGGCCTTGTATATATCCGGACAAACCTACATATACACTACTGCTAGCCATATACAAATTGGAAGACTTTTGCTGACTAGGTGAATCACACAGAATGGCTGGGTCAAAGTGGGTTGAATGCGCATGTCAAGTGGCTAGGGTGTAACATTCAACGCATGGAAACGAAAACAATAATATATCAGCCAGCCGCTCCCGCTTGCCATCTATATAGCTGCGATGCCAGTAGCATGAGAATCTGTCAGCCCTTATGCATCCTGTTCCACACAACTAGTGATGCTGATGCTGACATGGCCATCACCTAAAGATAACATAATTGCTCGCATCAACGAGGAAGGAAACATTCCTGCTATCTTTCTTCAGAACAACCAATAGCAAAAGGTTGAAGAAACAACGAAAGACTTCATCGCGATGTGATTGGAGTTTAATTCAAATTTCCACGCATCAATTCCTCAGGAAGCGATTTTTGCAAGCTGCTGGATTGAATGATCCTAATTCACAACACTGAGGGGTAGATGGCCGAGTGATCCATGGATATCTTTTCCCATCATTGAGTCATAGACACCCGGCGAAGAGCCTGATAGGCATGTCTATCTAGACTATACATAAGCCATGATGCGCAACTTGGCTTCGAGCTAATGGAGTTTGCTGCTAACTATATAAACCGTACAAGAACATGCGGACATTTAGAGGATGGCGACACACTCACACCCCTCTACATAGCATGATGTATCGCATCCATCGCATGAGACACCAGGCCCTGGTTGCGTCTTCTGTGCGTGACAAGGCCTTCAATATAGGGTCATTTACTCAGGCCATCAATTATGTGTATAAGCTTGTCATTGCTACTGATTAACTTGAAGTTGGGCCTATTCAGTCTGTTTCATGTGAATATGGGGACAATGGCCGCGGGCTGCAGGATAGGAAAACCTAGCCTTGTCCAGGTGAGCCGGGTTCTGATTGAGAATATAAGTTCTACTGTATTTAAGGAGTATGAAAGTCTTATACATGCTGTTGCAGACATTGCTACAACAAACAAGCTATTGGACTACAGGGGATCAGAGAGAAGGCCCTATAGATAACTCTTAAGGTGAGCCAGTTCTTCTTGTTACTCCATACCATGATTTAATAAACATAGCTAAAGGGGATTGCTGTTATCTTGGATAGTGAATGACGAGACTATGATGTGTGCAAGTGATTCTGCTAGAAGGGGAAGAATATCAAGTTTCTCACCCAACAACAAATCTACAACAATGCCTTATATCATGATCATCTCTCGGTCTCTAGCATCTATCCCATATTCACAATTCCTTTCATACTGAGTCTGAGTTCTGTCCTGATCACACTGCTGCTCTCAGATGATTCAGTTATGGCTAACAAGCTTTAGACGACAATCAGCCTTGGGACATTTGCACATTTACATACATACCGCAGAAGAAACCCAGAGTGGCCCGGCAGCATCATTATCTTCCAATACCGGCTCGCGGAAAAAGACTGGCAATAACAGGCACGGGTCCATCAGCGGCGACAGCAGCGGGTGTGCAGCCTAGGTTTGAACATATCAATGTACCCTCCCTCCCTCAACGCCAGCCGCTTATATAAACTGACTTGTGCTCACAAGTATTGCAGGGGATCTTTCGCAGCCCTTGTGGCTCTGGTTTAGAGTCTAATTGGTTTGGGTATTTGACACTCAATCCTACTTCGATCCATCTCGTCCAAATTCTCCCCGTTGAAAAGCAGAGAATCCTAGACATCAGATTCTACCGTCGACAGTGCATTAAACACACACGCATCCCTGATTTTCCTACCAAGAAGGGGGTTTTTGAGGAAGAGGAAGAGCTACTTGCACTGGAGAGTTGGACCCCAGGAAAAACAACAATGTAATGGGCCCCTTCCTCACAGTAGATGACCACAACGAACAGATGTTACACGATAAAATTGTTCTTCAGCGATGAATACAACAGATTTCACCACTCCTAGAATGAAGCTGGGGTATGCAAACCATTTTCAAGGATGCTAATACATCCCGTATTTTTCTGACGTGTTAGCAAAGACAGTAATGGGCCCCAGCTGGTTTCCTTGCTACTGAACTGATCGAAAGGAGGTTCAACGCATTCGATGAGATGAAATGAACGTAGATGAGAAGCAAGTTTAGAATCGATGGCGGCGATCCCAGGCATTTCTTCCATCCATCTATATCAAAACTGATAAATAAAGGGCAGGGAGCCCCGCCATAAAATGCGTCAAATGAATGTACGGTGCTGGATATCACTATCATGACGTGCAGCCGTGCAAGTTTTGATGGTGATTATGATGAGATTT